GATCTGAAGCCTGTTGCAAAAGGGTGTGATCTCAGCAAGGCGAGAATGGGCTGTTGCTAGCACACTTGACTGTTTGCTTGTTTGTTTGTTTTTTTTTGGGGGGGGGTGTGGTTGGGATAGGGGGGGGTCTGGGTACACAAAAGTACCTGAGTAAGTAAGGAAGTGATTATCTATAGCCTCAGAGCCCAATATTGGAAATTGTTATAGACCTCCCATCTTAAAGCCCCAGGGTAAGATATGAAGGGTTGGCCGCCTACACTCCCAAGGACCTAGGCCCACATCCCAAGTCCAAGGTGTAGAGCCTTGCAGAGGTCTCTCAAAATTATGGAGCACATTTTCCAAAGTGTCCACAGTCCACATGGACTTCATCTTAGGATGTTTGAGCAGGGGAGGGAGATCTTTCTGTAGAGAACGCACACCATGAGCAGGTATGGTGCATTTGCGGCTGGATGCTGGAAGATCCCTTGATTGCGGCACCCAACATCGTGGGATTTCTTTCCTGAGCCTTGTCTCGTATGCGGGGTTTCTAGGAGGCCTGTAAGGGACTCCAGGAAGAAAGGCCCTGCGCAGGCGTCCATACATCTTGTCTACCGGAGTATGGTTTAGGTCTGTTCACGGGATTTCTTGCCGAGGTGCTTACCTCGGGCTGTTCTCCTACTCTAGGTTATGCGTCTTCTTCTGGACTCCTTTTGGGCAGCGAAACGAAAGTGTAGCATCCCGATTGAGATGTGCGGCCTCTAAACATTGTGGCTCATCTCCTCACAGGTTCCAATGAGAATTAGGTAGCCCCCTTGGAAACATCCAAGTGCGCGGTGTAGCGTCAGCAGATGTGACTGAGGCGGGATATGCCTCTTCTGCAAGTACATTTACCCATCTGGAGATGAATGGTCAGTGCACAAGCGCCGTGATCCTTCTGCATCAGGGGACGGTCATGTGAGGTAGGGTTTCTGTCAGTGCAGTTTTATACGTCCTGTGTCATGAGGCTGATGAGGGGTCAAACGTTGAGGGCTTCAAAAAAATCACATCATTGCCCCTAAACCCCAAACCCCTAAGCCCTAAACCTTTTGCCCTAAGCCCATCAGATCGGAACATTCGGGCCCAGAAGCTCCCCCCCCAGTATGGCCCTGCCTTCCGAGCTTGGGGGATTTGGATCTACATGTACAGGGGGGGTTATATAGGGGATTACATTGGGGAGCTTTTTAGGGATTATTAAAGGGGATACTAGGAGTTTACTAGGAGTTTTTAGACTATAGCTCACATGAGCTGTAGTCTAAAGTACTTACAGGGGCTTATATACGGGATAATGTAGGGGAGTATTCTAGGGCTTCTTAAGGGGAACATTACTGTAGTAGTTTAGACTATAGTTCACAGGATTTAGAGGTTTTTAGGGCCTTGTCAAGTGCTTCGTGTTCCATGAGCCACTAGCACTCAACGAGGGCAAGGTCAGTGTTGAGCCCTTTTGGAACAGGGACATTCTAACTCTTGCCCTTCCCCAAACTAACATGGTAGCTTCCCTAAATACGGGGACCCCAATATGGACCCCAAAATACTACAATCCTTATTAATGGGAACTCCCACAGAAGTACCCCTAATTTTGTGAACCCCCAAGGTTTCCATGCTAGCTTGTGGGTATGAGCCCTTAACCCCCTTATTTGTAAGGTGAGCTAGAGCCTAGACTCCTGAAAGGGGATTATTTATATGGGGGTCATTAAGGGGGATACTAGGAGTCTAGACTATAGCCCAGGTGACCCTGTGCGTGACATTCCGTTGTCACCCAGCTCCCTCAGCAGCCGACGCACGGCACAGGCGGGCTAAGCACGGGCGTCAGCTTGCAAAATCATGGGTGCCTAGGCAAATCGGACCGTTCATTTGGGGGAGACGTGGGAAGACTACAGAACACCAGCTTTGACTTTCACACCCCTGAATGTGCAGCTAACGTCACCGCTGTGACAGTAGATGTTACAGATATGCACCAACATTGACCTGTGGAGTTTGAGTTTGTGCACATGCCGCCACATCTTTCTTGAAATGGCGTAATCGAGTTAAGAGCTGTGGCTAGATGAATTTGCCCGTGCCAGTTCGACCAGACGGAATTCCTCCTGTATACCATGCAGTCTCTCAAAACTATAGGTCCCGTTGATGGCCCTGGTAGAAGAGACCCTAGTCTTGACAGATGCTCAGACTTAGCGTGGTAATTCAGAATTT